AGTGACCATGTTCTATTTGCCAAATACGTTCACATGAGGACCTGGATAAAACAGCTGGTAGTGAGTAAGCCTAGTACGTGGCTTTGGACTTGAATCTCTAGAACATCAAGGTGGCTAGCAATTCACAAGCTGTCCTGTAAAGGTCCTCCTACCATGCCGAAGGCCGATGTCCACATCATGCGGAAATTCTGAGGCTTGGGGTGACAAGCTGGAAGCTTTTAGAAGGCATTATGTGGAGTCCGAGTTCATGAACACACGTCCATACATCCAGTACTTGGAATCCAGCTTAACTGCAGAGAGGTAAGCAATTGCTACTCAAGCTCTGCACCTCTAACAGGTGGGAAGAGATGTGTGTCTGAGCTGCGGGCAGGAAGATGGTGAGCTAAGCTTTGTTGCCCACCAGGAAGCTCACAGGGAGTTCCTGGTGCGTGCCATCCAACTAGTGAGGCTGCAAACCTACACCTGTCAGATGTCAAATGACCAATTAGCAATTAGATTTTTTTTGGGGGGGGGTAAGCGGGTCTCCTTGGGGCTGAACTGGATCCAAGATGGCATGTTTGGCAATGGAATATCAGAATCAAGCCAGCCCTCTGTTGCAGTCTCAGTAGTCTTGTTCCTGAGCCAGGCTGGTCCGCAGTACTCCAGCGAATTGCTCTCCAGAATTAGGTAAGCAGGAGAGTGTGCATTCCCTTCCAATAAATATCTCTTGAATTTCCATGTATAGGTGGGATGCATAGAATCCTGATTGGTTTGGATACTCTTAAGCATGCTGATGGATTTCCACATGTGTCAGACACCCAGTATGCCCCCCAAAATTTCATCAATATCTACAATTTAAAAACAATTGTATTAATCCTGCTCTTTCGCCATTATCTTTTTTCCTAACCAGATGTAAAACTCACTCACATCAAAGTCCTATGAATGTCGGCCCATCTCAAATCTCCCCTTCCCATCCAAGGTCCTTGAGAGAGCCATTGCCTCCCAGCTTCACTCTTTCCTCTCCTCTCACTCCTTCCATGAACCCCTCCAATCGGGCTTCCGTGCTGCCCACAGCACGGAAACTGCTCTGGTCAAGGTCACAAACCACATCCTGACCATGTGTGACCAGGGCGCCCTCTACCTCCTCGTCCTCTCCACCACCTTTGACACCGTGGACAACTCAATCCTCCTCCACAGTCTCTCCTTCCACCTCAACTTTCAAGGTTCTGTCCTTGACTGGTTCAGATCCTACCTCTCACACCGCCTCCACTTCGTCGCGGCAAACGACTTCTCCTCCAGCCCCCGCACCGTCTTATGCGTTGTTCCTCAGGGCTCTGTCCTCAGTCCCCTTCTCTTCACCCTCTACATGGGTGATATCATCTGCAGATATGGAGTAAATTTCCACATGTATGCGGATGGCACCCAACTCTATCTCTCTGCCTCCACCCTGAACTTCAGGACTACTGGCGTCCTGACCGACTGCCTGTCCGACATCAAGTCCTGAACGAGGGCCAACTTTCTCCAACTCAATGTCAGCAAGACCGAGGCCCTCCTGATTGGCTCGCGCCAGCGCCTCCGCACCTCAGGCGCTGGCAGCATCAGCCTCCATGGCTGCACATTCAACTTCACTAAGCCAGTCAGGAACCTGGGTGTCTTGTTTGACCCTGAACTGTCCTTTATCCCCCACATCCGCGCCATGAGCGGCACTGCCTACCACCACCTCCGCAATATTGCCAGACTCCACCACTGCCTCACCCCTCAGGCTGCCGAAACCCTCACCCACGCATTTGTCACATCAAGGCTCAATTACGGGAACTTCCTCCTCATTGGCCTTCCCAAGTCTTCCCTTCACAAGCTGCAGATCATCCCAAACTCTGCAGCTCGTGTACTCTCTCGCACCAGGCTCCGTGACCCCATCACTCCCACCCTCGCCCGACTCCACTGGCTCCCCATTCCACAGATGATTGAATTCAAGATCCTCGTCCTCACCTTTAAGGCCATCCATGGCCTTGCCCCCTCCTACCTCTCTGCCCCCTCCCTCCGTTCATCGGGCTCCGGTTTGCTCCATGTCTGCTGTCCAACCTGTCCTACCATCGATGGCCGGGCTTTCAGCCTCTCTGCCCCCACACTCTGGAACTCCATCCCACGGTCCCTTCCCTTCGCTTCCTCCCTTGCATCCTTCAAGGCTGGTCTCAAGACTATTCTCTTCGACCGTGCCTTTGGTCTCCCTCCCACCTCTCTGTTTCCCTCCCCCCTACTCCACCCCTCCCCCATGCTCGGGCCCCGACACCTGACTGCTCAGCACTTTGGGATGTCCTCCCGACGTGAACGGCGCTCTATAAATGTCATTTTGTTGTTGTTGTTGTCTAGAAATAAAATTAATATGATAAGAATCCTTGCATGTGATATAGCATCTTATTACATTATCAAAACATCTCACAGAACATCATGAGATTTATTGTAAAGTGTAGTGACTGAGCATTTGTAGGCAAACATTTTGTGGTAAATATTATGGTAAATGGACACTCAATGATATTATAATAAAACTTGTATTTCAGCTCATTTTCTATTGATCCTCCAACAGGAAAAGATCAGCTGATATTTAAGTGGAGTTGTTTAAATGAATCTCTTCCATCAGCCTCTCATCTTGGTTGGCAGTCTTGTCTTTCACCAGTAAGAAGTACATGCTAAGACACCATTTCCCCACACCCAAATGTAAAAATAAGGAACATCAAGAATGTGAGATAATAAATCACTCATCAAGCCCCATGAATAGTTTAATTTTATATTTATGTCTTCTAATCTATTCACATTCTGTGAAGCACTTTGAGATATCCTCTCTCTGACAAGCTTCCTGCTGCTTGTCCAACTGGGATCATCCTACCCATTCAGGCTTTGGCTTGCAGGGTTGAGAGGAGCTAAGTGAGAAGAATCCCTGCGCCCGGTGGAGCAGCGATTCTTTTTCCCTGCAGAAACCCATCACCATGCTGAAGAGTATCCAAACCAAACTGAGATTTCCATCATCCTACCTACACATGGAAATTCCAGAGATAGATTGTTGGAGTGGAATGCGCACTCTCCCTGGAGGGACAGATCCAATTTACCTAATTCCGGAAAGTAATAGGTACAGTTTGGCAAGAGCCAATCTTTAGGGACCCCACAGTAATCCCATATAATCTGGTAAATTTCAGCGCCTTGGGATGTCCTCCTGATGTGAAAGGCGCTGTACAAATGTAATTTACACACAAATCTCATTTTATTTACCATTTTCAATCCAGTCATACAACCATTTGGAGTAGCTAGCAGCTCTTTCCATTTGTCAATAATGGTAGGAAAGGCTGTCAACATGCACTCTCTCCTACAATAAATTTACCACACAGCCATACTTCAAAGCAAGGATGCTTCAAACCACTCTGTAATACCTCAAGCAACATAGAAAATACAGTATTACTCCTCAGTCAAATTGCTATGCTCATATCAACTTTCTCCCATTTTGTCTAGAAAAGCTCAATTGCAGTGGAAAATTAATTCAAATTGCAATCTTCTAGTTTAGTATCCCAATGCTCTTGTATCTCCAGTTATTCCTCTGCTGAATTCTATTCAAACTGACCAACACTCCATAAAATGCCCTAGTTTTACAAGCATGTTGTATCAGTATTAAATAAACAATGGAGCACAGGTTATAGCTTAAAGGATGGTTCGGGCATCATTAAACTAAACTAAAATAAAACTAAACCCTGCGGAGAACCTATAACCGGTGAGTGGAAATCATTTTCTATTATTGTTAGCAAAACTACATATTTAAAAACCCTACAGAAATTGGCTACCACAATGCATGTGAAAAACATTCAGTGTCACTGATTAAATACACCATAATCTCATAAATAAATTAAAATACTTTGGGGACAGCAGTCATTAATATTCCAGCATCTTATATGATATGTGGCCACAATTACAATTCGCCTGCACATTGTAATTCTTCTACCTACGGTGTGTGTAGTACCTCATGATTTTCACCAGCAAACCGAGAGACAAAGATTCTGAATGCCTGATAAGCACAGCTAATTATTGCCATTGGAGAAAAAGGTCATGGTTTGCTCCAACACTCTATAAACTCAATAAGACTGTCACACTTATTCAATTTATTGTCACCTGAGACTTTTTATCACTGTCCCTTTGGGATCAATGTTCCCTTAACCCGTAGAAGCACCAGGACTTGTACCATTTTCTGCTTCATTAACTGTGAGAAAGAAGCTTCAATACAACTGACTGAGAACAATTCTTCCTTTTCAAAAAAAATAAAACCTGCCCGAAAGTCAATACCCAAAGAGTTACATATAAATCAAGTTAGACTAATTAAATGAAAGAATGTCACTGAATAAGAACAAGCTGGCAAAAAGTTATCCAGCAAACCACTAATAGGTGGAATACTAAATTTAGAATTTCCAGCACTGAATCAGTGAGAAACAAAACCGCTTAAAGCTATGGGTGATTGACAGAAAATAAGGCAACATTTTTCCATTAAGTAAGAGACAATAATTTCACTGCAAAATACTATTAAAGAGACGTGAATAATCAAGCATGGACTTGGTAAACTCCCTTTCAAAACTTACAGCAAAATAGTTGTAAGTAGCTAGATATTACTAGTCATTTTGTTCTGGTGCATCTAAGATAAGTATATAGGCCTTCAGAATGACTTTCTGTTATTTGAGTAAATTGACAGCTCCACTGGGAATCACTGTTCGCATAATGAGGCATTTCAAATCAACATCTGTGCATTTATTTTGTCAAGGCTTCAGGTTTCCAGACATAATTCTTTGTGAATTTTGAAAATAAATGGGAAACAATGATTGGGCAAAACTGACTTAAGAGTTGCATCTTTGGGTGATTTTAATTTAGGAAAATTATTTACAAACTACACATGCCTAATGTAACAAACTACAGTACATATACAGTGCTTAAGCATGCGGAGAGACACTGTTATAGCTACTCATTTCTATGAAGGCAACAAACATCCTTACCCCTTCCCGAAGGCATCTCATTAGCACAATGTAGGCAGTGGAAGGAATGACCCAGTGGTCTCTTGGGTGCTGTCTTTTCTCCTCCTGTAATGAAGTGAATAAAGCATCTATAGAGATAGCTGTGTAAATGAAATTGGCGCAGACGATTATAGCAGCATTTTCTTAAAAAAAGCAATTTTATTGATTTTTCTCAAGCACAAATATAACACACAGTTTTCATTTTTCCTACTGTATTAATATTGCTTAACATGCAAGAACAGGAAACCTGATATGGGGCAACCATGTAGAACTTCAGCTCAAACTGGCAGAGAATACGTTCACAAAATACGATTGGGTATGCATGGCTAAAATGTGGTTGCAAGGTTGGGGCAGGTAAACTGGCATGAAGACCAAGACATTGAATGATATGGCACCGAAATAATAATAATAAATAATAATAATCCCTGCATTTGATATAGCACCTTATCATGCATTCGAGACGTCTCAAAGCGCTTCACAGAATATACTGTAAAGTGAATTGACTGTATATTTTGTGGGCGAAACGCGTGAGCCAATTGCGCACAGCAGTGTCCCACAAAGAGTCATGAATTCAAGTGACCAATTTTTTTTAGAAAGGAATTATTATCCCTGGGCAAAGTGATACGGCAATCAACTAACAACCAAGTTCCTACTTACTGCTAGGTAAATAGAGGCATGTAACACAAGTAAGGAAACTTGCCCAACATTTTGCCCTGCTGGGAATCGAACCCAAGTCTCTTGCTTATGAGTTGAGTGCTCTAACCACTGAGCTACAAATAGGCCATTTGGCTCAACTAGTCAGTGCCAGGACAATTATAATTACTGTACTCAGTTTTAGGGAGACAGAACAAGGCCCAACAATGCAGGTGAAGGAAACCCATCAATGTGATTGAGAGTCCAAAATACGTTTTTCAGGATTTCATTATAAAAGTATTAACTTGTTGCCTGAGGAAGAACAGCTGAAGGTCTGTGGCCTAGTCTTACCACATCGAAGTCACACACAAATATTACTTGGCTATTTTCAAAATGCAAAGCCAATTTTGATGTAAATGGCATCATCAAAATTGCCTGCTCTCTTGCCTCCTTCAAGACCCATCTCAAGACCCTCCTCTTCGACCGTGCCTTCGATCACCCTGCTTCTCCTCCTGCCCTCCCCAATCCCAAACCCCAGCTCGGGTCCGAAACACCGTCTGTCCAGCGCCTTGGGATGTTCTCCCGACGTGAAAAGTGCAATACAAATGTAATTTTGTTGTTGTTGTTGTCATAAAAGACTGTATCTCCCCGCCCCATTAAAAAGGAAAAGCAAAAATTTAAATGTACAATTTTTTTCTAACAATTCTTAGTCTTCATTTACTACTCCGTGTGAAGGGCACAATCTAAATGGAAGTTGTTGTTGTTGTTGCAAAGTTAGAAGAATCAAGGGTGAGCTTTTTGAGGAAGGGAGTAATGACAGCAGTTTTGAGAGGGTGCAGGATGGAGTCTGAAGAGGACAAGTTAACTGTGTCTACCAACTGGGGACAGAAGAGGGTTGCACAAAACACAAAATACTGCAGATGCTGGACAGAAGAGGGTTGGTTTGGTGACCAGCAGCTGGGAAGGGAGGGGTGGGCTTCATATGGGTGATGGTTGAGAGGAAGGAGAAATGGGGCAGTGAAAGAGTTGGCAAATGCAGAAGGCATTCGAGGGTGCTGCAAAACACAGGGGCAGTCTCACCTGTGCTAAAGCGCTCTGGGGCGCCATCCCGATTGAGGGATGCTATATAAATGTTTTGAGGAAGAGGAGGAAGTGGGGCATTTTGAGAAAGACCAGCTCGGGCAAGGGGCAGCAGCAAAATCGCATAGGCAGAGACTAGAAGCAAAGGGATCAGTGGGGCATGGTCAGCCAGCAGGCATAAAGGGGCCTAGAGGAGACAGTGAAGAGGGGAAGAATGTGTTGGGGGTGACACTCATAGTTTTATTAATAAGTTAGGCAGGAGCCCAACCTAATAAATAATTTAGTGAGAGTTTGTGAGTAAAAAAAGAGGGGAGAGAGAACTAGAGGGGAAGGAAGGAAATCGCAAGAAAAATTACTTAGTCTGGAGGTTTGAAAATCGCAAACGTTTTGTACATTTTTGCTATCAAAGCTAAATCTGAAAGGCGATTTTCCTCCAATTTCCTTCCTTCGCTCCCAGTCTTTTTCACCATATCCTTTGATTATTTTGCATCTCTGCCTGCCAAATATTCAACAATCCATCCTCTTAAATATTTCAATTTACCTCTTCCGTACTCCCATCACACCAGTTCTAACCTGGCTCCACTGTCTCCCCATTGCCGAACGGATTGATTTCAAGATCCTTTTCAAATCCCTTCATGCCCTGGCACTTACCTCTCTGACTTGCTTACTCCTCAACCCACTAACCGCTGCCTCCAGTCAACTGGCTTCAGTCGAATGGCTCCGGCCTTCTGCATTCCCTTCATGCCCTCCATTCCACCATCGTTGGCTGCCCGGAACACTCTTGCCCTATCCCTCCACCTTGCCCCTTCCTTCCCCATCTTCAGATCGCGCCTGAAGACCTTCTTCTTTGACTGGGCCTACAGTTACCTCCCCCTCCCATCGGCTTGGCGTCGTACTCCACCACTGTTAAGCATTCTGGGATGCTGCCCTGTGTCAGGAGCGCTATGTAAATGCAAGTTGTTGTTGTTCAATTGTTCCGGCATTTACAATCCTCCCTCTGAAATATTTTAATTGTTCTGGCATCTCCAATCTTTTGAGGTAATGAGTTAAATGCTTCCAATGGCAGTGAGCTTTGTGATCATGGACAACATCAATCATAGTTTGCCTGAACCGGTCATTAATTGAAATGAAAACACAACTGTACTTTTCATTAAAAGTCATATGACAGTTATAAGGTGTAAGAACGCTGGCAGAATTTCTCCCTACCCTATCTCAAGGCCCCATAGTTCAATGATAGCATCCCACTGGTACTCAGCTCAGATCAGCTAACCCAGGACAGCCTGAAGATAGAATCTAAGACTTTACTCGTTTGTATGGATCAGTGTGATACTATGTTAGACAGTGGATTTACTAATAACTCTCTCTTTGATCTCCTGAATATTATTGATTCCTAAATTTCAGAATAATTAAGTTCTGGTCTACATTGAGTGTAAGCACTAAATCTAGGTCAGTGAATGCTAAATTACATTATCAGGTAAAATAGATTAAGGTCATAGGAACGTTAGTGAATACTAAACCGTTAAACGTATTTTGATTGGTATTACAATGGCACAAGACATTGAATTGTAGGGTGTTTTAATGCACATATAATCCTAAATAAAGAGTTGAATAGTAATGAAAAAGTTTGCATTGGAAATTAATCCAGTAAATTGGAATACTCTAGGGAAATATGATCACACTAAGTTGTCACAAGTTACCATGTTACAAGATTAATTGAGGTGTTTAAGAGGGAGATGGACGAGTATTTGGAAAGAAAGAGTGTTAAGGAGATAGGTATTATAAAGAAGATGGGGAAATAGAATTAAAAAGAGGAAATCCCAGCTTAAATTCATAAACAAAAGAATAGGTTTGATGGACTGACTGTCCACTCTTATTTCTGAAGGTTCCTGCAATGCAACTATTACATAGAGCGGCAATTATTATTTCCAAAACAAGTCTTCTGTGGATTTTCAACCTTAATATCTTAAACATATCCTATCATAGTCACTCTGGTCATCAGCTGAAAACAGAGATCGAAGGAAACAAGTCCCTGCCTTCAGGATGGTGTCCTGTAGCTGATGGCAATGCTGCTGGGCTTCCTTTCGTTTTGTACATGATGTGGCATAACAACAGGATGTGGCAGATGAGAACAGATCGCTAATAACATATTTTTGGGGGATAGCTGGATGTTTGACACATGCGAAAAACCACCACTTTGCTTAAGAATGTCCAAAACAGAAGGAAGTTCCACAATAGCATGCCACCTACAGGGTCGAAATTTTCCTGAGTCTGGAATTAAATGCACATCCTCTCCCTAGAGGGAGACATTCTGCTTAACTATTCCAGAAAGCATTAGGCTCAGGATGGCGAGCCAAGGCTTGGGGACCCCAGAGTGCGTTTTGGAAAATTGCTGGAGTTTAACCAGCTAAAACTGTATAACTTAATAATCAGAGTGCTATCTGCCAAGCTTCCCACCGCTTGTTCGGATAGGACCCACCTTATCCATATAGGTTTTTGTTTGATCTAGAGAAAGCTGAGGTTGAACCCACAACCTTTTGACTCAGAGACAAGAGTGTTACCAACTGAGTCAGACTCGAACAGCTTCATGTCCAAACCCACAGTAAAATAAAGCATACCACAATGAGGTCAGACTGCATGAAACTTATATATATATAAATTGAAAGACATTCTAGTAGGATTTAACACTAATTTAATCACCTTGTTTAAAAGTAAGATGGCACTGATCCAAGAAAAAACGGTGTCAGTGAGGCTCATTTGGTAGCACTCTCATCTCTGAGTCAGAGGTTGTGGGTTCAAGCCCCAAGTTGGGACTTTGAACTCACAGTCTATGCTGATACTCCAATACGGTTCTGGGTGAAGCCTACATTGTTGGAGGTGCCAATCCTTCAGAATAGAAGTCAAACGTCTGCCTGTTCAGGTGGACGTTAAAGATCCCATGGCACTATTGAAAAAGAGAACGGAATTTCTTCCAGTGTTCTGACCAACAACACACCAAATAAAATTGGTCATTCACTTTTGTGGGATGTGGGATAATGCTGTGCGCAAGCTGGCTGCCACATTCCTACAGAAATGCAGTCACTGCATTTTATAGCGAACCCTGTGAAGTGCTTTGAAACATCCTTCCAACATGAAAGGCGCCATATCAAACACAAGGATTATTTTGTTATTAAAAATACACAAGGGGGCGAAACTATTCAGCAAAAGGCAAAGAGTATTAAACACCAAAGATCAAAAATTGTGATAACTATTCTTGGCAATAGTTATCACTGGTAATAATTAGCATTTTCGTATACCACAAATTTCCCCAGAGTCAAAATGAGAGGCTGCAAGAGACAGACAGCAAAAAAAACTCAGAGAGCATGGCACTGTGCGTTAAGAGAAGTGGGGAGACGTGACAGAGAGAGAGAGAGAGAGAGAGAGAGAGCGAGAGGAGAGAAATCGAGAGAAAGATATATTTCATTGAATGGCCAGATATCCGTACTGTTTTCAAATCTACAGTGGGCCTAGTTGCAATTAGTGTGGTCATCAGGCTCTACATGTACCACTCCAACCCATTACAGCTTTTCATTTATAGTCAGTGTCACCTACCTGGCTGGCCACGAGATACAGGAGTTCTCCCAGTGCAGGCATCAGGCATTGTTTTAGTTTAGCGTTCCTGAAGTTCTCTCGTATCAGCTCAGTTAGCACAGTCGCAGCCTGCAGTGTAAAGTGTAAAGCAGAGTAGGTCACATTTCTCTATTTTAAGCCAACATATTATGAAATATTAATCCAACATCATATTTTTAAATTATATTTGCTTGTTTCATTTTTAGGAAATTTAAGTTACACTTTATTTGAGTGATGTTTGTGATGAGGAATGCATCGTTTTCTTCCCCTGCCTTAGTTTTTTCTCTTTTCTTAAAATGGTGAATATGATTACCCTGGGGTATGCTTCCCTTGGATACCTTGTTCAAGTGGTCATTTTCATGAGTGCGCCTAAATAGCTCAGCTGTCAGTGCACTCAGCTAACTGAGGGAACAATTACAGCCAAGGTCCCAATGCTATCTTCATCAGACATTTACACATACAGGCACTTTCCAAGATGAGTCAGGAGTGTAAATTTTGCCTGAATTTTACCCTTCAAAGATCAGGGGCACTGATCAAAATTCAATACCTAAACTACCTCAACTGAGCTTTGGACTTTCCTACTCCACATTACTCATTATAGCATTCAACGGTGGATTTACCCAATCAGCCATCAAGACCGCCCCATCCATTCAAGTAGAAAATGCTTAGATTCTAAAATTCTTAAAGAACTTTTGGAACAGGCTGAATTTCCCAATGGATACGGGGGCTGAATCAGGGATGCATTTTAATGAATATAGAATGACTGATGTTTTTTCACGTTTCCCCCTATTCATTAAAACAGTTTTAACTTTACTTCAGTGTGAACATTGTTGTAGATCTGAATGGTGAGATGGATTAGCAAATGGTCTGCTCTTCTTTGAGACCAGGATTTAAATCCAGCTCAGAAGAGACTGAAAGCCTTCCCTCTCTTTTTGGTGATAAGGTTCCTCCCAAAAAATTTGGGAGGTTCTTAGGATTGCAAGTCAAAACAACAACCACCACCTTGATTTATATAGCGCCCTTTACATGGGCAACATCTCAGCGTGCTTAATAAAAATGTCCACAATCCAAATGAATTGTTTTGCATTCAGATGCGATGTGGGAAAATGAAAACTGTCAAGCTGTTTAAGTGAAAGGTCCTCTTTTGAGATTGGATGTAAGCCATGATACTGGGTAATTAGAGAGGAGTCAACTTTGCCACTTGCCATGCTTTACTTGACCTAAGAATATATGAGGTTGATGCTGGGTGTCTTGGAATGAAAAAATGTTCCATTATCCAGGGCTGGATTCTCTCAATTTGATGAATGCGTAAAACTGGCAAAAATTGGTACTGAATTATCAGTTTTAGCCAAAGAACAAGAACAACAAAGTATACTTGTATAGTGGCCTTCACGTTGGAAAGACATCCCAGGGCACTGGACAATCAGGGGTTTGAGACGTGAGCTGAGATTTGAGTTCAGGAGGGATGGAGACCGCCAATAGTGGAGCGGTAAGTCTGGGGGACCTGGAGCAGGCCAGTGTCCGTCGAGCTCACAGGTTGATATGGGGTTAGGAGATCGAAGAGGTAAGGGGGAGCGAGACCATGCATGGCTTTGAAGGTGAGAACAATTGTTTTGCACTCGATTCTTCGAGGGATGGGGAACCAGTGAAACCGGACAAGGATGGGGGTGATCGATCGATTCGGGAGAGGACATAAACTGCAGAGTTTTTAATAATCTGCAGCTTGTGGAGGGAAGAGTTGGGAAGTCCAGCAAGCCGGCAGTTGATGTAGTCAAGCCAGGCGTGATGAAAGCGTTGATCAGTGTCTCAGCAGCCTACTGTGAGAGGCAGTGGTGGGCAATGTTGAGGAGGTGGGGAAAGGCGGAACGGGTCACAGCATGAATGTGGGGTTTGAAGGATAGTTGAGGATTGAACAGGACACCAAGGTTCTCTATTGATTTGGTGAGATGTAGAGCGAACCATGAATAGTGATACTGTCAGCGGCTGAGGTGAGGAGGCGCTGATGGGAGACAAGCAAGAGGGCCTCTATCTTGCCAACATTCAGCTGGATTAAGTTGGCTATTGTCCAGGACTTGCTGATGTCCAAGATAAGAAGCATGGTGGTGGGGAGGGACAAAAGGAAAAGCCCGACCGAATGCAACAAAGGAAAGAGAGCAAAGAGTCGATCCGAGCATTTATGTTGTCCATCGGGGAGAGATGAATTTGGGTGTCATTGAACACAGGAAAAGTAGCCTAATGTTTATGGATGGTGTCACCAAGGGGAATGTGTAGATGAGGAAAAGGAGAGACGAGGACAGAGACCTAGGATAAGAACCCTGAGGTACCTGCAGGTAATTACGCGAGGGTGGGAGTCAAAGCCTTTGGAGGTAATAACCTAGAAGCGATCTGTCAAGTAGGAAAGTAGACCTCCATGGAGGTGAATGAGAGTTGAAGGGTGATCAAGGTGGTTAGAGTGAAAGTGTGAAAGACAGGGAGGTTGAGGGAGGTTGAGGAGGACCAGGAGACACAGGAATCTTTGGCCGCAGAATGAAAGTATATTAAGTGTGACTATGACAAGGGCCGTCACTACTGTGACAGGATGGAAACCAGAATGAAGGGACTTAAGCAAGGAGTGAAGGGAGAGATAGGACCTTTAACTGTTGGCCACCTGGAGTATAAGGTACAATGGTGTGAACAGAGTTTGCATGGTCTGATTGATGGTCTAAATTTCCCAGAAAAAAAATTGAAAGGGAAAAGGTAAAGGGTTTTTGAATTTACTTCTGTATAAATCAATTCCATTTTTGCATCCAACACAAGGAATGACTCAAAAGTGCCATATTTTATTTAAGAGGTTCCACCAAAATTCCCAGATAGCAATCTCTTGACAGCAAATTAAAACAATCTTTAAACAAGTAATATTCAAAGTAAAGGCTTCCAAAAAATGAAACAGAAAAAAAATGGGCAGCACTTCAAACAGCTTACAGATCGATCCAGAGCTTGTACTATTATGTACATTTGTATGCAGAACTCCTTTTAATCGCTTAATGAGTTATGTGCATCTAAAGCATAATCAGAAGGAACATTTTCCATTGAGTTTTTTTAAAAAGGAGCGTGAACGTCAACGAGTTGTTTTTTAAAAATATATTTCAAACCTCAAAGACTTTTCTGTTAACACAAAATGTCTCAGCCCCTTCAGCCTGTGCTGAACATCTGGCATCTTAATTACAAACAATTGGAGGCCAACCCCAAATGAAATGTGGGTAGAAACTTGCAGTCTTTTTAAGTTGGCTCACAGTTAATTAAACATCAACAGAATCACTGGAAGTTTCATAAACAGACAGGGAGACCATTCACATCTATTGAAGTGGTTTTAATGAAATCTTTAATTTATTCTTGCATATCCACCAAATCTGATTATAAAATATTTGCTTAAGTACCATTAAGATCAGAACAGGCTAAGCTTATTCAAGAAGTAGTCATGCTGCATGAAACTTTTTCACATGTACAATAAATTCTAAAAGGAATATTTTATCGAAATGTCAAATTTTCTTTCTAGTTATTTTTAAAATAAATGAAGCCGATTATATATAAAGCGGATCCCAGGGGAGAACTTTCTGTTTAAAATACACCCTCCAAGTTACAGAAAAAGAAAATATCCTTTTAAATTTATATGCTACCTGAAGCAAGGTTGAGGAGCTCGGCCTATCTAAAAGCATGATGGCAGAACATATGCAAGATTATTCAGTCCGTGCTGTCTCAGTGTTGGCACTTTCTGGCCTAATATAATATTGTTTCGACATATTGCTCTAGGTTTTACTTGTCCAATGAGGACCAAAATGGAAGGATTTTTTTTTGCAAATTGGATGAGATAAAGACACATCTTTAAATCAAAACAATGCTGATAATGACATTAGATACAATCTACCTTTGGAGGTCACTCACTCCTTTGTTTCTGTCTTGCATTCGGGTGTTCAATGGCTAACAACATTGCATACTTCTGGGATCTGGTTGCACAGTCACTTAGCACGCAAATCTTTTGTCTTTTGGGTCAAATGAGTTGTCTGTCAGAATGCAGCTCAAAATCAGCTTGCACAGTCTCAACCAAGTTCCTGGAAAGCAAGGCACTGTGCTGCAAATTGCTACCAAACTGGCAATGTCACTGATAGGGTATGGGGTAGAGTGGAGGAAGGAACATTCTCGCTTTACATTATCCTATACGTAATACGTCAGAATCGAGTCAATCCTATATGACGGTCTCAGTAGTATGATTCCTAAGTCAGGTGGATCCACAGTTCTGCAAGACATTGCTGATGGCAGCCCAGCCAGCCTGGCCTATCGGCAGGACTTGGAGGGACAGACTGGAATCAGGGATTCTTCCCAATGAACTCTTGTTAACCCTGGAAGCTAAAGCCACAATACTTATCGTGGACGATAAACTAGACAAGCAGCAGAAGCTTGCCAGGCAGTGTTCTAAATGCCAAGCCAAGCTAGTTGGTTTATCAACAATAGTGCCTTGGAGAATTGTAGACCTGTCTGGCTCAGGAACCGGATTACGAAGGTCACTACAGATCAACTCAATTCTGAGGCACATTACAACAACAACAACTTGGATTTATATAGTGCCCTCCATGCCAGATGGCATCTCATAGCGCTTCCCAGTAACAGATCCTGGGGCCGAGCCAGGGGAAGGGGGAGGAAGATGACCAAAGGTGCGGTCGAAAAGAAAGGTCTTCGGCAGAGACCTGAAAATAGGAAGTGAGGGGGCGAGGCAAAGGGAGTGAGGAAGGGAGTTCCAGAGCCTCGGTAGTGGCTGAAGGCACGGTTGCCAATGGTGGAGCGAAGGACTCGGGGGACAAGGAGTCCCAGTGGAGAGGCCAGACCCAGTGGAGCGAAGGCAATGGTCACTGTTTTGAGGAGAGAGGAGGTCAGAGGGGTAGGGGGGTGCAGAGGAGTGGAGGGATTTGAAGACAAGAGTGAGGAGCTTGAAGTCGATCTTCTCTGGGACAGGCAGCCAGTGCAGTCTGACAAGGACTGGGATAATCGGGGAGCAGTTTGGTGGGGGTGAGAATGCGGGCTGCAGAGTTTTGGATGACCTGGATTTTATGGACGGT